GCTTCTTCAGTTATCCAGACCAGGGATTGTCATTTCACCTTGATGGGTGTAGAAACACCATAGAGCAGTGATGATGAACCTTTTAGAGAATGAGTGTCCAAACTGCAACCCAAAACGCATGTATTTATCGCAAAGTGCCAACACTGCAGATTCAAATATGCCAGGGGGACAGCACAACATTACAAGAATCTCAGTCTCTAAATTAGAACATCTCTTTGCTAAATCTTAGATATTTAGTTTCAATTTTTCATAAGAAAACTCAAAGCTAAAACCTTGTGTTAATAAAAACGAATGTATTAAAACTCACAGCCAGTCCAAGCAAATATATATGTATCCTTGGCAGTGCACTGACCAGGCATGCGAAAGCTCAGGTGAGTTGCAGCTAATGAGTCACGGCTCATGACATCATCGCCTGCTGCTGCTACTCCTTTCTAAGCAAGCGCATGGCCCCTATGTACACTGTTATCCAATGCTCGGCTGCTGGGACGATGCCAGGGCGACTTGGCTCACGTGCCGACAGAGAGGGCTCTGTGTGCCCGCTGTGGCACGCGTGCTATAGGTTTGCCACCACTGCCATAGATTCTCCTGGCAAATGTAATCATACAAGTGGCCACTGCTATCTTTCAATCTCTGCTGACCTCAGCAATCTAGCAACAGGCATGTCACAGCTCGTTTATTCCCAGTAGCAGAGCAACATGTCTGTCTCTCTGTTTACTTTTGGAAACAGGGAGGCAGCATGAGAAATGCACAGAGGGAGAAGGGGGAATCATGCAAAACTGTTTAATTTAATAAGCATCTCAGTGGGATTGAAGCAGCTGAAAAGTGATGCAGGCATGCAGGTACACTTGGGAGGGGGAACCTGCTACTTGACTGAGTGAACCAATCAGGGAAAGGCTACTGCAGCCCCCAGGTAAGAAAAGGGAAAAGGCAGGGATTTTGCTTACAGGGTCAAGCCTGGGAGGACAGAGCAGGGAATGCAGAAACAGCACTGCCTGGGTAACCACATGATTGTCTGACTGGTAAGTTTGGCCAAAAATCTGCATACAGTGGAAACAGGGTAGGGTTGTTTGCCATATTGTGTGCACCAGTCCATATTTGTCTTTGTGAAACAATTTGATAAGGCCAGTTGCTCTTCCAAAACAGGCATGAATCAATTGCCTTTTAGTGCAGATTGTTGCATGAATGAATTACAAAAAAAGATGCCTAAATATTCAAAGAAGGTTTTCAGGAGGAGGAGGTGTGTTAGGGTACCAGTTTTTTTCCACTTGCAGAAAAGCCCCTGATAAGAGATAGCACGGAAAGCCTAATACATCTTGAGATACCAAGTTTGAAGTGAAAACTCACATACTCGTCTAGGAGATACAAAGTTCTAATCATTGACTAGTTTCAAGATGATAGCTGAATTGCTCCAATCTGCAATATTGCATGAACATGGTGGTATTGTCACACTTTTCCCTTGTGCCAAAAGCTGTATGGGGATTCCCAGCAAGTGACCATTCAGAAATTTCCTTCAGATTCAATCAGCAACTCTAGAGGTGAAGATGACGATACTATAAAAAATTTCTAATGATAACTTTAATGTTAAAGCACGATTGTTTGGTAGAATGTGGTTCCTTGGGGACTAATAGCTAATCAGCAGTATTTTGAATTTTGCCTGGAAATAGGCTAGCAATTAGTGTAGTTATGTGAAAAGTGGTCATGTGTTCACCATAAGGCCAGCCTCAATAACCTATGAGTTGTATTTTCACTCACTGATATTTTCCAGATATCTTCAAAAGCAGCTCCACATAGAAAGCCTTCTGATATAATATGGAAGTTAGCAGGGCATGATCCTGAGGATATGAATAAATGGATACACATCCTTTTTTATTATCAGTCTGTCAGTGCTATAGCACCAACACTCTGAAACTTAGAATTCAGAAACTTGGCATGCATACTAAGAGGATCCTAGGAGTGGGCACCTCAGAGTTGTTCCGATTTTTGAATGCATTGCTTAATCTCAATGTATTAATGTAGCTGAATCCTGCAGGAGTATCTTTGGCCAGTAGAGCATAGTTCCCTAACAAGCATACAGCTTTGTTGTCCATACAATCTGAGCCGGGGGAGAGTAGTAAACTCATGGGCAGAGTGGTACTCTTGGTTCTCCCTTGTGCTGTGGGGAGGTCACTTCAGGGGAATGGAGTGGACACACCCATCCCACAGGGGACTGCAGGTGCACCATGACAGGGGTCATATATGGCTAGCCGCGCCAGCGGGCACAGCTTCACTTAGGTGGGGAGAGTTGTGCAGCTTGTTTGAAGGCAGCACTGATTCCAATTGAGATATTTTCTAACCCTGTTTCACAGTTTTAAGGTGAAATTCCAAATCCACCCATAGCACATAACAATAGTAAACAATATAGAGCTTTTATAAAATACAGCCAATACAAAGGTTACAACCCCTAATCAAATGAACCAAGTGGAGCTGAGAAAACATGCCTAGAATCAGCCTGGGATCCTTTATTCCAGCAACCTTTTTACCAGTTTGGCCTTTTCAGTGGTTGAACTGCTGCTTTGGGGTTTGCTTGTTTTCTGCTTTCTTTTTTTATTCTATTTCATTTATGGCTGTCAGCTGGTCACAAGCCATCTTCTGTATGCTGCTGAATCAAATTTAAATAAATAAATAGTAACTTAGGGGAAAATCTGTAGTCTCCCAACACTGGGGGGTGGAACACATAGAATTATTTGGAGCCCCAGCTCAAAGCTGGGACCCTGAAGACTGAGTGCCCCCCCCCCGCCCCAACACACACATTCTTGCCTGCAGTCAGAAAGAGTTGTGTTAGCTGCCCCCATCCCCAGGCTGCATATGCAAGGAGAGAAAAGGGGCATGGTAGATGTGGGGCAGGGACCAGAAGCAATGAGCTTTTGATGCCCCAGCCTCATTCTCTCCCCATTCCTGACACTTTTTTAGAAGTCTCATAAGATGTGATCCTACAGTCTCTTGGAGGGCATTCCAGAGGTCATAAGATAAAATGGGCAAAGAGGAAAGCGTACTGGTGGGAAAGGAGGTTTGTAAGTTTGCAAGTTTGTAAACTTGCAGGTTTGTCCTGTTGTTAGCACAGAAAGCTTTGCTGCTCTTCTTGCTCTGTTGTCTGTGCTCTGGTGGTGGAAACATCAAAAGGGACATGTTGTGGCACATTGTGAAAGGATAGTATATCAGCCCTTGAGCTGGTGTACTTATTTTGCCATCACCCATCTTCTGCTCTGTTGGCAAGATTTTGGCAGGGATTTGGATCTGCTGGTTCCAGGCTTGGAGTTTTCCTTCTTACCCCATATGATTTTCTTGTGCTATATAAGGGGCAACACAACAGCTCTCTAAACACCATAAGGACTGGCAGAGACATACGTTCTTAAATAAATTTTGTTTTGCACTTGAAATCGAATAACTTTGAGTAACCCATTTCTGTAGTGTATGAAGTAGCCGTTTATTTATTTATATATCTCTCAGTCGTTATAATTTCTATCTCATCTTTAAGGAGACAAATCCTTCCAAGGCAGTTTACAAGTAATATTAAGCAACAACAATAAAATCATGGTAAGCAACAAATGAACATAAACATTCAAATAAAATTATGTCAATTTGAATCCAGCTAATAGGAGATGTGGATCTTGAAAATGAAGGAGCAAAGAATGAATATATTCTGAATATTGTGGTACAAGATATTGCTTCTCCTTACTACACTAGCAAGTATCTCTTCTACTTTTTTCAGAGTTGTATTATTTTTTTGGTCCTTAAAATAAGATTTGCAATTTTGATTCATCATGTTTTCTTTAATTCCTATATTTACAGATAATATCTACATTTATATCAAAATACTACCAGTCAATGAATTTGCTCCAGTCTTCACTAGTTCTTCATATGTTTTTAATGTGTCGGAAATAAGAGCAGGTAAGTAATGATCCCTCTTTTAGCAATGTGCAAGGGTGTAGAATGTAAGCACTTATTGTTATGTGCTGCCAAGTCATCTCTGATGTCCTGTTTGTGACATCTCTGCTTAGCTGTTTTAAGTTCAAGGCTGTGCCTTCCTTTATGGAATCAATCCATCTCTTATTTGGTCTTCCATTTCATCTTCTGCCTTCGATTTTTCCTAGCATGACTGTCTTCTCCAGTGAGTCTAGCCTGCAGCCAAGACATTCTTCAGATGTCTTGGCTGCAGTCTCCCTTTAAATTGGTGACTGAGTCAAGGGATGCAAAATCTTTCACACTTTCAGTTTCTTCGTTGTTAACAATAAAGTCCTGTCATTCTTCTGTAGTCATGATTTTTGTTTTCTGAATGTTCAGTTGCAGTCCTGCTTTTGCACTTTCTTCTTTCACTTTCATCAGGAGTTGCTGCTTTCTGCCAGTAAGAATGTAAACATGCTCCAAGAGTACTGCTGACTGCACTGGACTGCATCAGTCCCTTATTCCAGAACATGTATTCTCCTTATGCTTAATGCTCACAAGCAGACATTACAGCAATCAAGGCTTTTTGGAGTGACTGGGGGTTCTGTGTCTTTATTGATAATGGCAGATATTATATAAGGGGAGATGCCATAGCTGCTTCTCCTGGTTCACAGTTTGTATGAATTATATATGGGTTTAACTAGTAGCCTTCATGGTTCTGATGGCTTGCTTTTCACCCCCACCCCCACTACTTTGCTCATTCTTTTCCTCATTGCTGCTTTTAATTTGCAAACTTGGAAAATAGTTGCAACACTGCTGTATGTATTAGAGTGCGGTAAATGAATTCAAGGCATCACAGGCGTCAGCTCATTCCACAAGCAGATCTTTCTTTTTTTTTTTTTAAGAAATTTTATTAAGATTTTAAAACTAATACTTCAAACATCAATCATCGCACACACCGGATTTACTGGGTCAACCCCCTACTACATATCTTTTAACATTCTATGATCATACTAAAATCCATTTATAATAACTTGAAAACATCTTTAGATCAGAACCAAGTCCCGTTTGTCCAGCCAAAAAATAATAATAATTCCAGATTTGATAGAAGTCACTATCTTCCTCTTGTTCATCAGTGAAATCAGTCTCATCATTTCTTGCAAAATCCTGTTTCTCTTGACCAATGTCAAAGGGAAGCATCTCCAAGTTAAATAAGATTGCAATATCGTCTTTCTTCTTCAGTGATAAGTTCGATCTAAACATTTCTGGACAATTCAAGATCTTTTCAATTTTCTAATAATAAATAACTTCCTCACTACCACAATTACAAGTAACATCAAAAATATCCATTTAACATCTCTACAATTATCTTAACTCCTCTACTTGGTGGTAACTAATACTTATAAATTGCTAATGTTTCATCTAACTTAAATACCATTTAATCAAATATGGTTAACTCCATATAAAAACCCAGCTGTTTACAGTCTTTAACATATATCACCAACAGCAATAGCTTAACCTTCCCATATCACATAAAAACTTGCCAACCCATTTGAATCATTGCTTTTTAAAATAATAAGTTCTCTTATTTTCAGTTACAGATACAGTCAGAAATATCCTTTTAACAATAATACCTTTTAGACAGAATTTCATTAAGCTAAGTTACAAATGTTTCACTAGCAATAATAGCTTAGCCTTCCTACGTCACATGTGAGCATACCTACCTATATGAATCACCACTTTTTGGAATAAAAAGAAAGAAAGTTCCCTTATTTTCCCTTTGCACCTCAGCCATATTTATTTTTTCTTTTTCTTTACCCCTCTACCAGACCTTTCTGGGTTTTTTTTCATTAAAACATCATAATATCTGTAATGGAGTCTTCCATTGCAGCCACATAAACAAAACCTCTCTTAAGTGATTAGCTAATTTCTCCTTCTCTAACATAACACGCAGATCCCATGAAAGCTTGCTTATTAAATTCACTGATTGTATTACATTAAGACGTCGTGGTGTCTGCAATAAATCATGTGTCTTGAGTTGTAACCAAGCTATCTTCTCCTTCTTCATCATAACATGCAGATCCCATGAAGATTTATTTATTGAATTCACTAGTTGTGTTAATTTTCCCATTATGCTTGTTGTCTTTCCAGTTTCAGATTTTCCTTCTGCTTGCTAGATATTTTGCATATTCTGTTCAGGTACAAATTGCTTGCCCAAAGCCTGATTAATGGAAATGTCTTATTTATCAAAGCCACTTTTTTGTTCAGTGAAAAAACCATCAAGTCGCTCTAAAGCAATCTTCTGTTTTATTATTATCTCCTGCTGAGATAGTTGCACAGCTGTTAAAGAAGTCTGTATTGCCAAAAGTGTCTTCTGTATTTCTTCCATAGTAGCAGTAATTACCAAGGTTTGGCAGGTGTCCAGAGGTCCCAGGAACAAAGAGAAAGATGGCCATTAGTTCTTGACAGTAGTCCAACGTAGACGCATACAAGAAGAATCCTATCATTCAATTCCACAGTAAAATATTTATTTTGATTTTTTGCCCTTGGAGAGATTAAGGAAGATAAATCTTTTCCTTACTCACAAAGAGCTCTGTCTCTTTCTTCTTATGTAATTCGCTGCTTTTCAACTCCGTGGGGGGGGGGGCAGATTCCTTTCCTCCTCCATCCGAAGGGCTTTTTCTTTTTCCTTTGTACCAATTAACAAGGAATGCAGCTTATTCCACAGGTATCATTACAAAAAAAGAAACAAAAATCATTCCCAATAAATCCGATGCGCTTATAATAGCTAAAACTAAACTAAAAAAAACCAATATGTTGAGAGCTGGTAGAGGGCTTCCTCCCTCCTGTGCTACCCGGCTGAGAAAAGCTTGATTTCCTCCCAGTGAATGTGGGAGATTCGCCAAGCAATCTATCTTAGCCCCGACAGGGCTTAGATTGAGCCCCCATGGCCCACCACTGGGCAGTTACCAGCGTGATAACGGAGGTTCGTTAATGATGTCTGTATTGGTCCGACGCCATACCAGAAGTCCCACAAGCAGATCTTTCAAGTTGAAGCTCCATCACATCGCACAACCATTTAAAAAAGTGTCTACTTCATCTGTGTACAAAAGCAGCAAAACATCCTTTATCAGTCTCACTACAAATGAGAGATTGTATGTAACTTTACAGTGCATCCCTATGCATATTTATTCAGAATTAAGTCCTACTGTATTCTCTGGGACTTATTCCTATGCAAGTGCCTTTGGACTGCAGCCCCAGAAAGATCTGTTTCAAAAGATGAAAAATTGAGGAAAAGGATGGAGGCATGAATCCAAAATAACAGAAGTTTCTGTAGCATGATTAGATCTGTATGAAACTCCAATTGTGTTGCTTTGCTCCTGGATACAGAGTAATGAATGGAATTAAGTTATTTTGAAAAAAAAATCATAGAATAGTAGAATTTGAAGAAGCCAGTAACGCCATCAGGTCCAACCTTCTGCTCATTGCAGGAGTCCAAGCTAAAGTATCCCTAACACATGGGTCTGCAGCTGCATCTTGATTGCCTCCAGTGTGAGAGAGCCCACGACCTCCCCAGGTAACGGGTTTCATTGTCATATTGCTCTAATAGTCAGGGATTTTTTCCTTAGGGTCAGCCAGAATCTGGCTTCCTGTAACTTGAGCCCATAATTCCGAGTCATGTGCTCAGGAATGAAAGAAGAGATCTTGACCTTCCTATGTGTGACAGTGTTTCAACTATTTGATAAGTGCTATCATATCTCCACTCAGTCCTCTCTTCTCAAGGCTAAATGTGCTCAGTTCTTTCAGTTGCTTCTCATATGGCTTGATCATCTTTGTTAACCCTCTCTGAAACATTTCCAGTCTGTCTGCATCTTTCTTGAACTGTGGTGCCTAGAACTGGACTTAGTACTCAAGATGAGGCCTAACCATTGCTGAGTAGAGGGGAACTAATACTTCACATGATTTTGAAGTGATACTTCTATTAATAGGATTTTTTTCAGCCACATCACATTTTTTATTCATGTTCAGTTAGTGATCTACACTTGTAGAATTGTTGAGCCAAGTATCCCCCATCTTGAAACTATGCATTGCGTTTCTTTTTCCTAGGAGCAGAACTTGGCATTTGTCCCTATTAAATTTCATTCAATTGTTTTCAGCCCAGTTCTAATAATTCTCTTTTTTGAAGGGTGGAAAGAAGGCTCACAAAATAAATGCTGGGACACAATTGATGCTCTTTTGACTTAGAGTCCTTTCATAAATTAATACCACTCAAGAATCATTGGCAGGACCAGTCAGGTTATTTTGCTGCCTAATAGCTACTGGAACTTTAAGTCAAGACTAGCCACATTATTTTGGCACCTGAGGGAGTAAACCCAGCTTCCTTTCCCTGATTATACAACCATAAAAGAATCAATCGAGAATTTGTTGCTGTTTCATGTGGCCCAAAAGCACCATGCCTCCTTCTTACTAATATTAGGGCCAGTCCTGAGCATAGGTAAATCAAGGTCCCAACCTTACCCCTTTGTTCTTGCTATATATCACATCAGCCAGGGAAAGTGCAGAAATGGCCCAAAGAAGGAGAGGTTAGCCTTCCAAAGAGACATGTAGCCGATCAGAGTCCTGGATCATGCAATTCCTCTGCTTAAAAGAGCAAGGAAAGATCACATCACCTGGATCACTACATGAGTGACTGTTCTTGCGGAGATCCTGGGTCAGCCATGTGATTGCAGCAAAGCATCCAGTCTGGGCCACTTCCGTTTAGACTGAAGAATCTGTATATGAAGATTTGATATGGAAACTGTTTGTGCAATCTTGAGATTCCTTACCCTGTAATACTGATTTGTTTTGTTTGCTAAAATGTGTTTGTACTTGTTTCAAATCCTGCTTTATTTCAGCTGGATCCGAAATTGAACAAGTGAAAGCTAGTGACAAAGATGTTCCACCTATTGCAATATCATATTCGATCTTTGACTTCCTAGAAACATTTTGGATTGATCCTAAAATGGGCAACATTAAACTTTTGACTAGATTAGACTATGAAACAAATCGAAAGTACTCTTTCATAGTGTGGGCGTCTGATGGGCTCAGAAACTCTAATGCATCTGTGAGTAAAATTTAACATTTAAGCAGCTATGAACATCTCTAATATATGCACTTGTGTTTTCTAATGTTAAAAATAGTGGACTTGGCTCACATTTCAAGCATGCCAATAGTACATGCATGGGCCTTCCTAACTAGGAGAACTCATTTCTGAGCTCCCACTAACCAGTTCTAATGTTGTCTTCCCTTCTAATGGCCTGGGGTTTTAATCGAATGGGGAAAAGAGAAGCCCTCCCCGACCCCAGTGCATGCTGGAACTGAGAAGTGTTGGGAAGTTTGAGAAGACTCCTGTAAGGGATACAGCATCCTTGAACCCATATGAATACAGAGCGTCTGCCATATCCCCTCTGCTACATGCCTGTGGTTCCCCTCCCCTGCCCATATGACAAGATGTCCATGATCACCTCTTAGACTCTACAACTATAAAAATGGCAAATCTGGGCAGACTGATTGTGTGGCAGCATGAGGCCTATCTTCACTCAGATCTGCTCATAAGGACAAGACTGGACTTTAAGTGCTTCCTGAATTAGAGGCTCCACTGATGTGATGTGTGGCTGCAAGGCATATCCACCCTTCCCCAGCCTGACACCTAGCAGATATTTTTGGATTGCAAGTACAGCATTCTTGACCATTGGCCAAGCTGGTTGGGATTGATGGGTTGAAGTCCAAAGCATCTGGATGGCACCAGGCTGATGAAGGGCAATTTACTTTAAAAATCCTCTGCTGCTGCCCTGGCTGGGGTTGGGGAAACACTTGTCCTACCCAGCTTCTTGTGCAAAACTTATGTGATATTTCAGCAAATGTCTTCATCTCTGGTTCTATCACTAGTCTTACTTCCTAGCTGGGTGGCTCCCTCATTTTCCGACAGGTCTGTAACTCCAGGCCCAGAAAGTTCTGTGTCTGGAGGAATGGTACATTCCGGTCTAAATTAACCATCTACAGGAATAGAGAAATCACTAATAACCCTATTAAGATTTCTTAGGAGAAGCCTGTACTGCTATTACATCTCATAACTGGCTCCAATAAAAGGCAGAATTTTCATAATATAAACCAGGAGAGATGTGTCACCAAGGATATGGACAGAAATATGAGGGAGGGTATGCAGCTGAGTGTATCCTCCACCTTTGTATCTAAATATGAATAGAAGGAATGGCTTGCTTGAAGTTGTGGGGCTTGAAAAAATGGTTCCCAACAGGGTCCCAACATCCCTCAGTAGGGATATATTCATAAAGCTTTGAAGACAGTCTGGAATGAGTGGAGTTAGGAAGTGTGAGTACAGGTGAGGTCACTGGAGGTAAGAAGTAGGTGTGAGGCAGGTGTGAGTGCGCAGCTATTTATTTATTTAGAATTTTTGTATGCTGTCCCATCGCATGAGCCTTGGGACGGCTTACATACAATATATAAACCCGAGGAAGCACAAGCTGTGGTAAGATCAGCATTAGAAAACGGACCATGAAACACAGGTTGGAGTTAGTGTCATGGTGTATTAAAGGCAGTGACTGCAAGTGAATCACCATACAAAGAGCACAAACTGCGTATAATGTTGGAGACGAGGGGGGCATACAGGAATGAAATCAACATAAACCATTCCCAAAGAAGCCAGACTAGGTTGCAATTTTCTGTGTTCTTTACAGGTGTTAGGGAGCAAAACAGGAAGTCACAGGGCACTTCTTCCATATGAGTATTGATCAGATGCATTCACTAACAGCCACAACAATCCTGGCCTTTTGTGACCAAGCACTGAATACTCTTTAAAAATAAAAAATAGTTCTGGAATGCTTCAAGCCAGAAACAAACTGCTGGTTTAAGAATGATTTAGAATAATTGTTCTGTCATCTGATATGCATTATAAAGGATATTTATTTAAGCATATATATTATTCATTTCAACATAAAAAGCAACTGTAATGATAGGATATGTAATCTACTTTAAAAGTAATTACAAACTCATATGTCAGTGGTACAGCATATAAAAAGCTCCATGTTTTATTACTTCAAATACATATTTTCATCTTCAAATAAATATTTCAAGTTTATTTCTGTTAGACCAGAAAACTACATTGGACTGTTTTCATCTAGAAGGACTATTGCTTTGCAGTGTAAAACAGTTCTTCTTTTTAAAAATTAACAGCAACTGGTTTACAAGATTTTAAAACTTTAAAACATACAAATAAGACTGGCAGAGCTAGTCCTTTATTCCTGCTCAACTATTCGTCTTGAAAGGTGGAGGGCTGGGTGGATCAATCCCTGACAATGGTTAGAAAAGGTAACCTTCTGGTTTGATCAGTGATCAAACTATGGAATTCACTACCACAAGATGTGGTGATGGCCACCGGTGTAAATGGCAATCAGTATAAAAGGGAATTAAGCAAATTCATAGAAGACAAAATTACCAAAGGCTGCTAGGCTTGGTGGCTACATATTACCTCCAGTATTGGAAGTAGTATGTCTGTGAAAACCAGTTGGTGGGGAGCACAAACAGGAGGGTGTTCCTGTACTCCAATCCTGCTTGTGGGTTCCCACGGGGGGCTAGTTGGTACACTAGGTACACAGCAGGCTGAACTAGGTGATCGTTGCGTCTGATCCAGCATGGCTGTTCTTGTCTCATGGAGGTTAACTGAAAGAAGTGTTCTTCTTTTTAGATAACAGTGAATGTTCTTGAAGCAAATGATGAACCACCAATTTGTTCACCCAATTCATATTTGTTGGAGGTTCCAGTGGACCTAAGGAGTGGCACCAACATTGCAGGTTTTAGTATTTCATGTACAGACAGGGATTCAAGTCCTCGATCATTCCGATACTCTATTAACTCAGGTACTTGACTTTTGGGTTCTCTTATTGGCTACTGGTACAGTGATGGTTCCTAGTAGCATGGTTGAATGTCACTAGCGATTGACTAGTCTTCAGTGGAAACATATGAGGTTAGATCCAGATTTTGGCAGTTGGGCTGCCAGAAGTGAACTGCTTCCGCCTGTCCTTTTCCCTCCCACCCACCCCACACACAGCAGTGCATCAAGGGCCTGAAAATTCTGCATGAATGGGGTGAAGGAAGGCCTGCTGAATGAGGTGAGGTGTTTGGAGGAAATCTCTCCAAATATCAGGTAGTTGTGCCTTCTGTTTATGGAAAGCAGATCCTGGATCTAGTCCATGATTTATGACTTCTCTTGTGTAGATTAATCAACCCCTTGATTCCAGTATATGACTCTGAGGCAACAGGTTGCAAACTGTGTTTTAGCACAGTGGAGTATTGGGCACATACTTGTGGTCATCTGTGGAAGCAGAAAAGGTCAAACAGGTCTGGCTGGCAGATCACATAGGCTGAGAGTTTATCCTAAAACCTTGTCCCACACACTGGGCTTGCCCCATTACAAAGGGGCTAGTGTCAAGGTCTGATCCTTGTTAGTTGGCTTGAATGATGTTTGAGTTGTCTGTTGTTTTACTCTCCCACAATGGCTTTGCTTAGTGCACAATGACAGAACCGTAGGCCATCAGCTGTATATGCAGCAAGGAGCTGCAAACAAGATTGACTTCCTGGCATGTGTACCCATGTGGTACACCCACATTTGTATGGATGCATTTGTTACATATATACATTGCATTTTGTATGTACAAATAAAACCTTTCAGGAATGTGTGAAACAGCGTTATGTATTAAAATAACAGAGCCATCACAAATAAAATCCCGTCAGGAATGACCTGACCTCAGCATAGCATGCCTAGGATCCTTGTGGGTACCTATTCTAGAAGGGCCAGCCCTGTGTGTTTTGTGTAAATCTGTGGAATGTTACCTCACTGGACTGTTTACTTTGCTATTAAAAGTAGGTGTGCAATAGTTTTGGTAAAGCTATACAGTAGGAATCACATTTAGAACCATATGACCGTAGTTATCATGTCAGTGATATGATTCTGTAATGACCACGTTGTCTGAAAGTCCCATCCTGCACCAGCCATATGGGTTAGGGCACTCTTAACCCTGTACAAGCAATGCATGTGAATGGTGAGCAAAACTCTTGTGTTGAATGGATTGTGTCACTAATCATGCATGCCAGCAAAAGAAGTCAGACCTTGTCTTCATTCCCTATGTATTTTTATCTGTGGTTTTGTCTTTGGTTCCACTTTTAGGAAATGTGAATAACCATTTCACCTTTTCACCAAGTGCTGGCTCTAACATCTCAAAATTGATACTTGCATCCCCATTTGACTTTGAGGGAGGCCTGGACAGCCTTTGGGAATACAGACTATTAGTCTTCGTAACAGATGATAATTTATTATCGAGCACCAGCAGAACCGCAGCCCTCATCCAAACGGGCACAGTGACATTAACTATCAAAATCATTCCAAACCCAACCACCGTGGTCCCTACAACAGTAAGTCAGAGGATGCGAAATATTAAATGCAGAATAATGTTTATATGGCATTGGAGACACAACTAGATTAATGCAAGCATTCCAGCTTCTATAATCACTTGCTGCAAAGTAAATGGAATTTCAGTGGATAGTTGCTTTATACATTACATATTTTTAAAAATATTTTCTGCGTAGGAAGAAAATAAATAAATGATCACATGTGAGAAATAGAAACCAGTGTAGTTTAATAGTTCAAGTACCACACTGGAACTCAGGAGATCCAAATACTAAGTCCCCATTTGGAAACTTTGGACCAATTATGGACTGTCAGTTGAACTTACTTCACAGCGTTGTTATGAGAATAAGAGGGAGAGAAGGAAGGGGATTATGCCCTAGGTCCTGTGTAGGATAGGAGTACAGGACATAAATACAAATGAATGTCATCAGTGCAGCCACTATGGTCAATGTTCAGTAAAAATGAGATCCACAGTCCAAAACCTCCAGAAGGCTCCAGGTTGGGAATCGCTGGTATATACTAAGAATGAACAACCAGAAGACCTCGGTGAAATCTGCCCCCCCCCCCCCAAATACCACCAGTTGGTCCCCTCCAGTGGCTAGTTTAGAGACAAACACAGTTTGTGAAAGGAATGGTGGCTGTTATGATATTTCCACATCTTCCTTGTAAAATGAATTGCTGACCAAGAATGTAGAGTTACTTCTATTCTCTGGGAAGCTCACAATATGTGATAGGTGTTGAACTGAGGGAAACTACTTTTCTAAACATGTGCTAACAGAATAAAAGACACCTGAAATATAGTTGCCACGGGAAGATCTAAGTTTCTATTATTAGGAGCATGTTTCTGGAACCATGGTAATTAAGAAACTTCTTTTTCAAATTTATTTTACAAGCTTGGCATTACCTTTGTGACCAGTAGAGAAAATGTTTATTCTGTATCAGCTTGGTATGTTCCATTCATCATCGCCCTTGGCAGTTTCCTGCTTCTTGGAATCCTTGGGTTTCTCACCTTTTTGCTGGCAAAATACATCCGTACCCACTGTCAGTCAAAACCCAAAGCTGATAAAAAACCACTGTAAGTATCTGAAAGGAAACCATACCCTTTGTATCATTATTATTATTATTATTATTATTATAACATTTCTATGCCGCCCCTTGCCGAAACCTCGGGGCGGCTTACAACATGATAAAATACATTGAAATACAATAGTACATAATAAATTACCATTAAATATAACAATACAAAAAATACATTGATTTACAAATACAAAATTAAAATTATCAGTATAAAATAAAAATATAGGAGGAGAAAGAGAAGGAAGAAGAAGTTGCCCAGGCCAGATCATATGTTTTAACAATTGAAATGATGTTTAAATAAAAAGGTCTTTACCTGGCGCCGAAAAACCAGTAACGACGGTGCCAGGCGGACCTCTTTGGGGAGTGAATTCCATAGGTTGGGCGCCACCGCAGAGAAAGCCCTCCTCCGGGTACTTACTCTCCTAATTTCTTTCATGGAGGGTTCCCGGAGAAGGGACTCTCCCGCAGATCTCAAAGGGCGGTCGGGCATATACGGACGTATCATGTCTTTCTACTGTTTTTTTTTTTTTTTGGCGAATATTGCAGTCCAGGGATCCCAAACTTTTTGAACCTATGGGCACTTTTGGGAATTTGAGAAACCATGTGGGCACCCCAACAAAATGCCTAATCAGCAGATTACCACTGTCACATCTAAGAATTTTAGGCTGCCTCTTATTCAGCAAAACCTTTTATTTTAGTACTATTGGCCACTAAAACATCTCTTTAATGAGAGATTACCTAATTCATGTAATTGCTGAGAGTGCAATACTGCTAATGTTTCTTTTAGACATATTCACTCTTTTTAAATTATTTACCTGCTCCACAGAAATTAACAAATGGAAAGCATTAATGGATTCTTCGCCCCCTTTTGTTACCTAAAAATCTGGCAACACACCACTGAAAGGATAAACACTCCTCTATAATGCAGTAGACTAAGGACCTTTACAGGGCTGAATTGGTGGCATTCTGATGTGTACTTATTCCGATACATTATTACATCTCCAAGTTATGAATGCCCAAGTTATGAACATCCATTCTTACAAACTGCCATAAAGCCTATTAATTAAAAAAATGAATTAAGGACAAACAGTTCATAGTAATGATCACAGGAACTTTTTTATGCTTATGAAAATGTTCCATGACATAGGTTGCTTGTTTCAAGTCACATGCAGTCAGCATTGCCTTTTGTACTATTGTGTTTAAGATGTTTTAGAGTATATAGAAATATTCTTAAGTGTTTTATATGCATAGAAAGGTAAAATATACATCTATAATTAATCATTTGTCTTACTCATGCTAAATACAACCCATGCGTACATAATCTGACTTACATACAAATTTGAGTCAAAGACATTCTCAGGAACAGAACTTGTTTGTTACCTGGGGACTGCCTGTATTTGATCCACTTTTGCTGAAGTCTATGGATAATTGATAGTAAGTGGTGCACATCTGACAGAATGCCATGTACATATATTTTAGAACAGGTATTTGTTAATTAAAAATTGGAAGTATGTGGGCACTGCATGGGGACTTCATGAGGCACCACCTGGGGACTCCTTTGCAAGGGCTGCTGAAGGTGTCTGTGACACTTAAGCAACCCTGCTCTAGGCAGAACACCAAATCAAAGTAGTCTTGCTTGAATTTTCCTACCAGTGATATATTTGGCTTGAGTGCTAGAAATATCTAATATCTCAGGAAAAGGAAAAAACCTACCTTGAGAGAATAGTTTTGAATCCTGTGCAACAAGTGTACTACAACTAGGCAAGTGGCATTCCTGTTGAATTGCATGGCAAATTTTTAAAATGTAGAAATAAACTATAGATATAGGTCAAAGTATATTTCATTTCCTGGTATAATGCTTTCTTTTCGGAAAATACAACTACTGCAAACTTATACTATGCATAGCAATACCTAGAGACACATATGCCAAAGCAACAATTGCAACAATTGTTATAATTGTTGCTTCCATTTCCATTCTTAGCATAAGAAAAATGATTATTCTGCAAAACGTAGACTCGCATTCTTCATCATAGGATCCTAGTATTATCTATGTATTGTTCTGGAAAAATTGTACTCTAACAGATTAATAATGTTAATATTTTTAATTCTTTATGACAGGATAGAAGTGCCAGGTATGTATTTTCCTTGCTTTTATTATTCCTAGAAAATTGTCTGAATGATGGTATGTATCTCATTGTTGTTGAGATAATGTTTTTTAATTGTGTGTGTGCATGTGTGCATGCATTTCAGATGTAGTCTAGCCCAAAGAGGCATGTTCTAAAATCTCATGAAGATCATACATAGAGGACTGGACTGAACATACTCTACGTTAGAATGAAATAATCTAATCAGGGTTTTATATGTTCTAGTCAACAGTTTTGATACTCTCCAGTGTTGTCAATTTATGCTCTAACACATGTGCTCATAGGTGTTACCAGTTACTGGATCAAGAAAAAATGGATGTGCATCTGAATATTCATTTTCATTCAAAACCAAATGTGAATTCCATTTAGGGACATGACATTGCTTTCAATTGGATGTATAAACTTTATTTTATTTTCATTTATTAACATATTTATAGCTCATGTTACCCAAGCTGAAGTAGTCTCCTCTAAGGTGGCTTAGAACATGAACATATAAACATCGTTTCTTTGCCTCATTTCTTCTTGGAATTGGCACACTGAGCCTCTTGTATTTGAGCTGACAAACTCCCCAGCACGCCCCACCTACTGCTACTGATGAGTGCAAAGCTGCTTAGCTCCTGTGCACCTTTGTGGTCATCAGGCAGAGTGGGGCATGGCAGGGCAAGCTCTTGCAAGGTTGCTAGCCTGGTCCACTCTCTTCCTGAGCCTCAGGAAGAGACCGAGACAAGATGGTGGCCTTGGGAGAGCTTGCCACCATCTTGGCTGTCCCATCACTGGAATCCAGACTGCCCAGAGGGGCAAGAGGGCTGCAGAACAAGACCTCGGAGGCTACAAAGAGCCCACGTGTTGGACCACTCCACCTTAGGGTTTTGGAAAATACACAACAGAGGAGATGTTCCATTAAGTAAGAACTAAGGTCGCACAGTCTCTATAACCAGGAGCAATTATGGAAGTTACTGCTACATTCTACACCACCTGAAGTTTCCAAATAACAATTCAAAAGCAAGAAAGCACATATGGCCTGTCTTGATGCATGAATTCAGTGACTGGGTCCCCCAACAATTTTTTTCCCCCATTCCACTCAAATTCAGCCATCTGCAGACAAGTCAATCATGAATCTCCTATCTCATATTAGTTTGGCCTCAGGAATGTATTTTGTAAGTTTCACAATGGGTAAAAATGGCTACCAAGCAACTGTGCATCTCCTGTAAAATCTCTGTTATTTGCTTGCAGGCCTAGGTATCAAAGGAAATCATGAGCTCAAATTATTTTCTTATTACTCCTTTCCAGTATTAAACAATAAGACTAGGGGTGAAATTCTGTGCACGTTTAGACTGAGAAAGTCCTACAACTCCCAGCATGGCTGACCATGGCATGCTGGGAGTCACAGAACTTTTCTTGTCTGAACCATTATAGAATTTCAGTCTAAGTCCCATCAATTTCAATGTGTTGACCATTTTGTTCCTTAAAAATGTTTAATTTTTGTTGTATCACACCCATAGCAGAAATATTGATACAAGTTAGGAAAAGAATAAAGTTACACTTTTTTTCCTACAGAAAAGAAGAAGGCTAAGAAAGAAGTAGTATGGGTAAGTACAGAATAAAATAAAAAACAAACAGAAATGTTGCCAACATAGGGTTACTTTTACCCAGTGCTTTTTTTGTAAGAAAAAAGGTGCTGAGACTCATGAACTTATTTACCTTTCTCACGTAGTCAATCACTGTACACACACCCACACATGTCAGTTGTGTAACGAAACATAATGGTCGCCACCCACAGTAAGCACTCAGCGCACGACCACACAACCAATCACAACCAGCACGGACAAAGTACGCATGCATCAGATTCCACACACAAGCAGCCCGCATGCACCGTTTTAATGACTTTGCCACCAACCTGCTACACTTGACAGGGCGATTCAAATCCATGTGGACCAAACATCAAATTTTCAAACGTTACTTTTAAAACTTGGAAAATCTGTCGAGAAAAGGTGCCGGAACTCTGTTCCGGTGCGTTCTATGACAAAAAAAGCACAGCTTTTACCCAGAGTTTTTACTCTGGTTACAATCCTACACCCAGATGCTATCCTTCCGTCCTTCCTAGTCTTAAAGCTGTTTTTTACCTTATACTCAGCTTCAAAAACACACTTTTCAGTTCTGTTAACAAAGTACATAGGCATTTGAATTAGTACTTCTCACTGTGAAGTACACAGAAACTAAAAGTTGATCACTTCCAAGTCACCAGGCCCTCAAATGGTTTACAGTTCAAACTCAGCATTATTCACAATTTGTCTGTGGGCGCATACGATTATTGGAGCCCCAGCTCCAAGGCCTTGCAATTTTGGAACTGGGACTGCAAAGGCAAAGCCATGCCCCTCAGACACAACTGGACCTGGGGAGGCAGAAAAGAAGTGGGCTGGGAAAAGGAGCAGGGTAGGAGCTGAAAGCCTACACAGATTTCTGCCAGTGTCCCTGCCTGCTTCCTACTCCTTCCCTGGTGCTTAATCTAGATCATGGGTCCTCTAACTACGGCCTGCGGGCCGGATGCGTCCCACCGTGCCCATTTATCTGGCCTGCCTCAGAGGTTTTGGACTCGCCGCACCTGTGCACAGTGAGGCAGCGGCTTGCTTGCGTGGAGATCGTTTTGGACTCGCTCGGAGAAAACAATCTCTGAGTGAGCAAACCCCTGCCAGCACCGCTTTGTCTGCCTACACCCACCGCTGGCACCTTTCAACTGCCCCCCTCTTGAAAAAGTTTGAGGACTCCTGATCTAGATGGTCAAAACCCAGGCAGCTAGATAAAGAGACTGCAGTCAGTGTGCCTCCGAATGCCTGAGATACATGCAAGCCTCTGAGGTTCATATGCATTTGAAGCAGGAGGGGGATCATTGGATTGGTCCTAAATGAATTAAGTGACACCTCTGAACCTAAGAAGAACCCTGCTAGATTCAGGCCTTCCATCTAACAACTCCTTTTCACCAGAAGAGGAAACCCCATTCAAGAGGGCTATGTCTTACACTCTAGGCGACATTTACTGTGGCTATTAAAGCTCCTTTGGTTTTTAAAAATGATAATTTGTAGGCATTGTTTGAACAGACTTCTGTGGGAAAAGGCCTAAACTTAAAATTTCTTGTTTTTAAACAACAACAACAGTAGAAAACTGGCTTCTACATTGCATAGGAACCTACCTGACCACATATCAAGTATCCTTCTTGCACAAAGGCCCAAATTCCCCCCATACCCCAAAAAAGCCCTTCCAGGTGGTTCTTGTTTTCCAGAACAGAAATCTCTTCAAGCTCTCAGTTCTTACTTTCCACTTCCAAAGTTGCCATAAAGGCCAGGATTGTTGTAAGCTACACCCCATCTCTCGGGTGTTCCTTTGCTTATGTGTGGTAATTGCCATGTTCCAAGTAACAAATATCTGCCCTTAGAGGTGTGCCAAGCCCATATGGCCTACCTTCGTGGAGGATCCACTTTTCCTATTAAGTTCCCTCCCCTCATTCTACAGTGTTAAAAATGATCTGACACCTTCTGAACATCATGGGTGATTCTTGCTCCTCAACAAAAAAATCCCAAGCTTCCTGTTTAAGACTGCCTGGAACAAGTTATTGAGAGAGGTTTTTTTTTTTTTTTTTAAATTGCTACCCAGTTTTCTCTTTCAGTCCTTATACCTCATCCCTAAGTCATTTCAGCAAAACTTCTCAATTTGGAATTCACTAACTCAAGAATCTTTCACCTGCACACCAGACCTCGATGTAATTTTGACCAAAGAGAGAGAAAAGAAGAGCAAGCTGAATTCACTTAACATCAGCGAGGTTGTTAGCTGTCCTAGGTGGAAAATTAACCTGCAACTCTGGGAGTATCTTTCAAGAACACGCCTTGCAATGCTCTGATCTTGCCTTTAAGATAGCTCAGCATCCTACCCACCCACATTTACCACCTTGTTAAATGTCCACTGTGGAAAATACACGAGGGTTATTTCTATTATTACAGACAGCTATTTGTTTCTAAATACAGAAATTGTAAGGTTTTTTTGACCTTTACAAATGCACACATGGTAAGAAAAACCTCTGGTTATTTTTGGCAAGAAACTCCCAGATCTGCCTTCCTTTACTTTGATTGCTTCATGATCACACATTGGAGGTATTATAATACTGGGCATGTTTACTCCTCCCCTGAAGATTCATCAGCAGTACCTCAAGAAGCAATGACTTTGTAACCCATTTTGATTACACTTGCATTGCTAGAATGCAATATGCAAGTAATAAAATTCTATTTCATTTCATGCAGATCAATCTTTCTGTGCCCTCTTTAACTAATGGCATTGATTTAATGTTTTGATTTTCTTCCTAGGAGCTGACCAACTTAAACCCTATTTTTGATGGGGAAGCAAGAGACCCAGGTATTGGTGCTATGAACTGGGGGAAGAGAAGGTTTTGGTTTGAAAGGAAAGAGGTTAAATTTAATTATAGTGGTACATTTACATTTCCAAGGCAAATATCAGTGGCATACATTTTAAAAAATAGGTAAGACATACCTCCGTATTAGCAAGAACATTAAAGGATTATCTGGCCATATGCAGCAGTGGTCTTTGACCACTGGTTAACAACTTTATGGACTTTTCTACATAAGGAAGTTAATCCATTAAATTCACATCTAGTTAGTTGCAGAACTGAGATCCAAACTCTACACAGAGTGCTTCCTTTCCTGCTTTGCAGCTACATAACCCATCCAGCCCAATGTAATCTATGTAACCTCTGAAAAGATGGATATGGATGTGCATTGCTCTCCCTTTCTTACTGAGGATAAGAATAAGTGTCTGTATACACTGGTAGGTATCCAGTGAGTAAGGTTTTGTTTTTGTTTTGCATGCTGTACCAGTCATGTAAGAATCTTTGGTGCATGCAACCATCTCTCAGCTTGGGAGCACTGGGGGCGCACATTATCTCATTTGTATCCCCATGTTCTAGCTAATCTGAGTGGGAGAAATTGGAATGGCAGAGTAGCTGTGATTTCTTGTGGCCAATACTGTTCTCTGATTAGTATTTATAGCTCTGGTACCTTTCTTGCTCACAGCTCAGGAAATTGGTGCAATTAAAAGGCCCTAATTCTGTAGCTAGCTAGAGAATTCCCATATTTCACAGCTAAGCGGACTAAAGGTAATCTTATCTCTTCATTTGTGAAAATGAATGGTCACAGTTTTGGTTTCTTTCTCAGTCACTGGCAAATTTTATGAATATAATTCAAAATCTGGAGCCCGAAGATGGAAAGACACAAATGTGCCTTCCACATTGGAAGCAAAGGACCCAGGTACACAAGAACTACCAGCAACAAGTGCTATGCACAGTGGTCAAGAGAATCTAAGCCAAACAGAAGCTGATATCAGTGGCAGAAAACTGGAAGAACAAAAGCACATGACACCAAAACCCTCAGAAAAGAAGGCAGAGACTCCTGACCAAAACAGCAACCTAAAGCTACAGAAGCCAAAAGAAGAGCCGCTGGGCACAGGGTCATCTTCAGCCATTCCCCCACGCAGGTCTCCAATCCCCTCCCCTAAAATATATCCCAAATACCAAAATCAGTCTTAAAAAAAGAAAGAAAACAAGAGAAACTTTACTGTTACTCAAAATAGGGATCAGTATCCAGGCTTAGTTTTACCATTCTGAATAAGCTACACAAGTGAGACACTGCTGAATAGCAGTTTCCCTTTGTAGTTGTTCTAATTGAAATAAAACATAGAGCAACTCCACCCATTCCAATGGCTTAAGAAGTACCACAGGGTCATGTTGACAGTATAATGTCCAACTTTATAATTCCCAATCTTTACTCCTAGATCATTTCCTAGATCTAGGAACGTAACCTCCTAGATCAGGTTGAAGACTACATATGACTTTCCTCTGGGAGAACAAGCTATATATTTCAGGGGAGATATCTGTCCATCTATATATCTATGGTTATTCATTATCTTTAACACAGGGCCATCTTGCTTCAAAAGTTAAGGAAGATATGTTTGGTGAACCTAGTTAGAGTTGCGTTTATCAAGACCCAATGTGCCCAAAATGAGCTAGTAGTCTTTTTATTGCTCCAGGCATTAAAATTCTGTAACCATGGCAATTTACAAGCCTCTTCCTCCAGAGATTTCCTACAGGGAGAGTAATTTACCACAAGAATTCTACAAAACATGCAGACACATCTCTCTGTTCATACAGCCTAAAGAAAATATAATTATTTATTTCTATAGCAAAAGTCACAATTGGCTTTCAAACATAAGCTTTTTTGTATTGGAGTAGAAACAATATGGTTTAGATCAAAAATTCACTATACAGCTTTTCATGTGAATCATGTCATAGTTGTGCTGGAAAAAAGAGAAGAGGAGGTAGATATGGAAAAGGGTTAGTGCAGGAACATTGTGGTGTTTGTGATGGTGGCACTTAGGAAGCAAACATCTGTGGATGCTGCATAGAAAATGTGCATGTCTGTAGCAGACAGGGCTGGGGAGAGTGAAGGGAAGAAGGCAGCTACTTGGGGTTGAGTTTGTCCAATTGTATGACTACCCAAATGGCACATGGACAAGTGTCAAGACATTTGACAAGGAGGGCTAGTATTTGATGTTTCCTCAATTATTAGAAGCTGTAGCTCAGTGGGCAGAACATATACTTTGAAGGTTCTGTCACTGGGTTTAAACTCCTCAAGCTAATGTTGCTCCTTCAGGAGCTGTGTTACCACTATGGACACTATCCCCCATAACTGTTTTTAAAAATGAATTTGGAGCTGAGGTAGCATGGGGCCACATGTGTCTGATGGGCCTTGTGTTGCTCACTGCTTGTTTAAAAGATCTCAGTAAGGTGTTGAGGCAACTTTTCCCTACATCTGATGTGAGAGAACTAGACAACACTCAGATAAATGGACCAATAAGCTGACTCAGAATAGAGCATGTCCATATGCAACTAATATTCTGCTGAAAGACTTGTCTTAGTTAAGGGTTTGTGACCTGCAGCTTGGCAAGCGATTCTCTCAAAGGTACAAGCATAGTCAAGGCAAAGGCTAAGTTGTAACAATATAGTTATTACTGCACTACCACAGGATTGCACAGTCGGTTTTAGCACCCTTTGAGATCAGTTGCAGTCATATTGCTCTCTCCCCCGCCTCCATTATTGTAAAATTTAATCTGTGCTTCAGTAATAAACAAATAGGAGCTATAATTCTATACACACTCACTTGGGAATAAGTCCAGTACAGCTTACTTTAGAGTAAACCTGCCTAGGCTTGCATTGTAAGTAAACAAAATGTTGGACTTATAGGTTTACTTTGTATTTTAATTAAGTGATAGAAAACTTTTGTATGATGTTCGCTGGACCCAAATGGGGAAATGCCTACCATCTCTGTGCGTCCAGAGAACATTTTAGGTACATTATGTCACTGATTCATCACCAAAGCAATCTGTAATTGTGTATGTACTGATAAGTAAATTAAGTTTGGAAGGTGGTTACATTAAGTATAAAGAAAGCTAAGGAGTATTGATTTATCTCCATCTTCTTCCAATATGCAAATTATTGGTTCAAAAATATTTCATATGGGAAACAGTTCTGCAGTAATAATGAGGTATCTCTTTCAAGCTTTGTTTTATACTGTTTGCATCTTTACCACCATCATTTACTGTTTTTGTATGTCACAGAATCAAGCTAATAGCTACCCCCCCTCCCCAATTAAAGTACTGTAAAAGTAAGAAGCCATAATGAACTTCAGGTACGTTTGTAGCACTTCCCCCTTCCCTAACTCCAAATACACATCACAGAAAACAGGAAGATCCATCTGGAAGTACAAGGAAGCTTCTGGACCAGAGGGCAGCACTTGTGGGGTTGAGACCTGGAGTATGCTCAAGTCTCCACAGGCCAGATGAGGACCTCCACTGGTTGGATTAGGCCCATGGGCCAGAAGTTCCCTTCCAGTGCCATAGTCTATGCAGCAGACAACTTTATAAGTGTGACATCCTTGTTACAAGAGAAACTTTGTCATCATTGGTGCTGGTGCCAGAGAATGTCCTTAACAGCTGTCACCACAAGGCCAGTGAATCCCAACTGGGTTTCAAGGTTGCCTTTCTTTTGGCCATCTTGAACGTCATGAATTGTGTGAAGCTGGTTAGGCTTGGCTTTTTTAATGAGATGAAAATGTATGGTATTCAAAAGGGCCTTCTGGTCTGGAAATAACTTTATTGCCTGCTCTTGACAGGGAAGTGGTACCTTGCACAGAAGGGCTTAGTGATGTGCATGTCCTGAAAGCCAAATGGGATGACATGGGCAATATATAATCATATTTTACATGCTTCTTGTTTTGGAGTGTATAGCTGGAGCAAGATCAGAGCTGTACTACATGGGAAGAAAGTGAACATTTCCTAACATCCCAATGGAACATCCCTCCCTATGCAAGGTACTGTTTGTTCTGGGATGGAAGCTTTATGCCCAGAGCAAAGACTAGCCATGTGTCCTAAATTTTCACAGAGAAAATTTAGATTCTTAATTGAAAGTCTGGGAGACATTAGTAAGAGAGCACGCTTTGCAGTAGCTTTACAACAGTGTCCTGCTTACACTAATTCAGCCATTGCTTCAATCATGCGACACTGACAGACATACTCAGCTGAGTATAACATGACCACTGTGTAAACAGACTGCAGGACCAGATAGGCCTTTGCTCTGATCCAACACATCTTGTTTTATGTTGCTAATTCAGTAGCACCAACCAATTAAAGAGGTAAAAGTTGTTCAGCCAGAGCGTTTCATTTTCCACTTATCAGAAAATCACATAATGACAGGGATAGAAAGAATGATTCACAGTCAGTGGGCAGCCCTGTCATGTCAAGAGTTTACCGTGGATCTGCTGTTGTTATAGTGGCAAAAGTTCAAACACTAATGATGTAAGTTAGCCATTCAGAACTCTGCAATGCCATTGTATTTACTGGACTTGAGCAAATAAAATAATCCTATTTGTGCATGAGTGGTTTTCTGATGAAGCAAGAGGTGCCACTGCCACTGAAACCCATATTGTTGTTTTAATCTTACCATTGACACAGCTTTGAAATGCTTGTGGCTACAGCAGGCTTGCACAAAGATACCTGTAGATCTTAGTCACCCACATAAAATGACTTGAAAGCATGTCATACATTTTCCAGTCTGTATTTACCCTGCTAGGATTCTTATCAACTCCTGTGTGGATGCAAAGAGCCAACACTTTGATTGAAAGAAACCTTAATAGCTTGTGTGTGAATAAAAAGCAGTAGTTCTGAGGGGAAAAAATAGTAGGTTCTTCATATTTGCATTTCTAATTTAAAGAATACCAACCTGCCTTTTTGGAAAGTATTTCCAAGGCAGGAAACAACAGCACAGTTAGAAAAGTAAAGCTGCATGAGGTACAATTCTGTAACAGTGTCTAGGGGGCCATAGGATTTTTCTGGATCTCAGCTCTGATGGCAGAGCTGGGATTCTGTGTTTGGAACGCCCCCACAGCTGGCAAGGAAAGAACCACACAAGCTGCTTCTCCAAGGTCACACAAACAATCTTGGAGAGGGCAGGCAATTAGCACTGCTGAATGAAGTATCTTGGCAGCAACTCAGCCTTCATCCTTCCTTCTCTAAAGTACTACAGCTAGATAGCTGAAATGCCTTCATGTTCTTCCCACCCTGTATAGTGTGCCTGTAACTCCAAGTTACTGGCAACCTCATAGGATTGCTCTCTAAATATTTTACTATTTTTGTGTTTTATTATTTTAATACCTACAGTGTAATTTTGCATCTTATATTTAATATTGCATTTTATGCTGTGTTATTAGTTTCATTGTGTTGATTTTATTATGATTTTAAGTAGTGAGATGCATTTTATGAGGCATTTACTAAATTTGAACAAAAACGTAATTATAAAAGCAATGAATCAAATAATAAAGACAAACAATTCCAAATAGCATTGTTAAGGAGTAATTAACCATAACTGGCATATTCAGCTGTCAAAAGCTAATCTGAATTCAAAAAGGGTTTTCAAAGCTTGCTTTGATGGACCAAGAAAAATAGGTGAAAGTGAGCCTAGTATACTGAATGCAACCCACTCTGAACTTCTGAACAAGCTCCCTCAAAGTTTGCATGAAGAACATGAAAAGAATGGGAGACAAATCCCTGTGGTACCCTGTGAGTTCCCACTGGGAAGGACAGTTTTCCCATATTGTCTGATAGAATCCATGGTGCTCTTACCTACAGGTCATACCAAAATGACAGCATGGTTAAAGTATTACAAGAACACAGTAGGAACCATTCAGAAAAGCCATTCCCTCTAGGAAAAGGAAAGATTAGGAATGCTTCTTCAAAGGTCATGTTTATGGTTTTTAGAAGCAATTGCATGTGTTTGCTAGAGTGTCTAATCTGTGTGCCATAATCCATGCTTAACCTGCAAAATGCCACTGTTCTCCTTCCAAGAAAACCAAATATTAGCAACTCCACACTTAAATAACTTAGTTCCAGCTACATGCAAATCATATTCTATCACATTCCATTATTTGTTTTATTTATATCCTACTTACTTTCATCATGGGAGTCAAGGCTACATACAGGGGTGGCCCTCAGGCACTTGAAGCACTAAGCTTTCTATATAGCTGAAGAAAGTTTGAACCTAAACCTCCATCTACAGCACCAGTGCAAGTCAAATTCCATATGCTCAGGAGACAGTGCAACTTTAAAAAAGAAGGTAGTGGAGGTGTGTGACAGAAACAACCATCAAGCACACAGTTCATGTGGCATACTTTGACAGGAATTAGTTTATTTCTTCACAGTAGTCTAGATATATTTAAAGTGCCCCTGGAAATACTGTAAAAATTGTTCATACAACAACAGTGACACCTAGTGGTACGGAGAAGCTTTTTCTCAGAACTAATTAACAGAACTATTTTGGTTTTTAATGTTTTCAGGAACTTGTGAGCATCTTAATGTTTAACTGGCCCTGTGAAACTCTACAAGATATAGTGGGAATATGGCCTTAAAGGACATTAAACCAATAATTACACAGTATTGCACTTTGGTCTTATTGATTTTTAAAGGGCTTTGATGTACCTATTTTTTTCTGGACCATACGTATCACTGAAAAAAGCTGGTTAAGGAAAATAGATAATCTACTACTAAGAACAAGCTATCTTAAGAACAAGTTGATGGGTGACTTGGGGTTATAGACTGCCAAGCCTTTATTGCACCAAACTCTTAGTAGTGCAACAATGCAGTGATTAAAGTAGCATAGAGTCTTGTACACCTTCATGACCAACACGTTTTTCTGGCTTTTATGCAGCATAGCAGGGTTGGCCAGACCAAGGCTTGTGAGCCTCATGTGGCTCTGTTTATTTTGCAGCTCACGGGAGGCTCAGAGCCTCCCTATTCCTCCTTCAGTATGGATCCCAGTGATGGGACAGGCATGATTTCAGTGGGCTCTCCTAAGGCTGTCATCCTGTCCTGCTCTCTTCCTGAAGTTCTGGCTGGGCCAGCAGCCTCATGAGAGCTCATCCCATGCTGCTCCAGCTGATGGGCTCCTTTGTGCTTGTTATTTCCTTATTCAAAAACAATGTTATTTCCTTATTCAAAAACAATGAAGTAGACAGACACATGTGCATGGATGCCTTGGATTAAACTCAATGGACCCAATCAATCTGCACTCTTAGTGAGATTCGTTTAATGGTTAATTGCCTAGCCTAGTAGAATTCGCTATGATGCGCAAGTACCAGTTGGCTTTTAATTGTACTAAAAGCCTATATAATTATTTATTAAAAGCTTTTGTATGCCATCCTATTATACAAAAACCTCAGGACGGCTTACAATATTACAAGTGAATTATCTATGAAACAAATTACAAAAACTCTTTGCCTGATTATCCACCTAAATAATTGCAACAATGTCTGCTTGGTCATAAAAAAATCAATAAGTATATGTTCATGTCTTGGATCTCTCAAACATGTGACAATTGTTGTATGTGGCTCTTCCACTGAGCAAGTGTGGCTGCCCCTGGACTTTAGCCTGCCTCATCAAATGCATTAAGTGCTATTAGAATTTCAGCCTTCTGCAATGGATAAGTAGCAGTGCTGGAGAAATTGTAAACCATGAGGACAAAATAACATGTAGGAGGCAGTGTCAATGAGATTGTTCATGTGAGCCGTTCACCAAACACATTGTCTTTCCTTCCTGGTAAATGGCAGCGGACTGGGGACAAAAGCACTAGCCATGCTCCCCTCCCAGTCACCATTCCCTTGAGAAGTGGATGCAACAGGGACTTTCTCCAGCTGGTAGAAGCTCTGCACCCAACTGGAACTCCTGCTTTTTCAGGGTTCTAAATCAGCCAGCCTCTACATATACAAGGATGTTTGCACTTCCTAGAAATCAGAGTGTGGGGCTCCAAAAGCCATTAACAAAATCCACCATGCACACAAAAATCACAGCATAAACTGTGAAATCAAATGGACTGTTAGTTCTTAAAACAAGGTCCATCCCAACTGACTGGCTGAAAGAAATCTAATTCAAATGCTAGCTACCAGTGTGTCAACTCTTTAGACATTACTAGGCAGTCAATCAAGGGTGGAAAAATTGTTGCAGGGTTGACCTTCTCATTTGCTTCTACCTCTGTTAAAAATACAACAGGACACTCTCTTTGTGTAATACAGAAAAACAGTAAGGTTGTGGCTGGTTTGTGGTGAGACACTGTAACTGCCCTAAGAGTTACAGTGAGAGATCACACAAAATAATTTTCCCCAAGCTATCAAGACAATTTTATCATTTGAAATAAATTAACCACAAGACAACATATATGAACAACTCCTCACTTGGCAATGGTCATCTGAAACACTGGAACTCGGCCTCCACATTAAAATCCTTTGCACATTGCCTTGTGCAACTCTTAGTTTTGTACACTATATGCTGATCTACAGCCATATAAATAAAAGGATACTTGAATGTGAGTCTAAGCTTTGAAGGTTCGAAATCATTTGCAGGCCACAACAGCAAGCCTGGAGGTTTGTAAGAAGTAAATCTATCATGTAAGCTTTGCAACGGTGCTTTTTCAGGTAGTTTTGAGGCAAGATACCTGCTCAGTAACAGACAAACAGCCCAACTCTAATCAGCATCAAGTCCAGGAGTAGGTAACCTCTTTCAGCAAGGAGGTCTCATTCAATTTCAGATCAGCTCCTGGAGGATACATTCCAGTGGTGGACAGGTTTGAAGGCAAAAGGAGCAGAATTCAAGGCAAAAGGAGTAAGGCCAAAGAGAAAAAATAGCAGCATATCTGAAGATCTTACAAGCCTTGGAAGAAACAAATCTGGAACTTCACAAGACAGGTGAGGGTTGGCTAAACAAAAGTGGGATGGGGCTGAGGATCCCTGATTTATTCAAAGTTTATCACTTCCATCTCATGAGAAAGCCTCACTTAGACATCAGCTTGCAGTTTCTATACTTCAGCATAGCTGGAATATTCCTGGGGGACTGCGCATGAAATCAGTTGCTAACAGATCTACAGCTATTCTGTAGGCAGCCATCACTGCCTGCATTTAGGAAGGCAAGACCCTAGCATATACAGTGTATAGCAGGGGTCCTCAAATTTTTTTACCAGGGGGCCAGTTGAACGCTGCCAGTGCTGGGCATGAGTCGGAAAGGTGGTGCCGGCGGTGCATGTGGGCGGGGTGCGCAATGAGGGGAGGAGTGGTGAGGTGGGGGCAGGCACGCACTGCAAGGTGGGAGCACGAGGCAGTGGCTTGCTTGCTTGGAAATCATCCTCTCTGAGCAAGCAAACCACTCATTTTCTCCAAGCGAGCAAACTGCGTGCAGGGTAAGGTGGGCGGCAGCGGGCATGTGTATGAGTATGGGCATGCGGTGGGTCCAAATGGGCATGGCGGGCCGGATCTGGCCCCCAGGCCTTAGTTTGAGGACCCACAGGCTCCAGAGTACTCAGTGCATAACAATGCTGTCAAGCAAAGGGACTTCCTCACAGCAGCCCCCTTTAAATGCTATAGGGTTGGGGGACCCTGCTGAGGGCTATGGTGCGGGGAACTGAGGTGGTCCCCAAAAAGCTAGATACAACTTCTGTGAAGCAAGCATTTCCAGCTATGACACATATCAAGATTAAAACTTTTCTGGACGAATGTCTGCTTGTTATATAACTGAAAGTTTGAAAGCATCTTCCAGAAAGTATCTTGCCAGACACTGAAAAAACTGGCAAAGGTTAGGACACTTTATATTGTCCTTACATCAGTTGATAGCATGTGTTATAGTACATTCAATGCTGCAAACAAAAGATTCCTAGAAACTTTCAATTTATTAGGTTAACTGAATCCAAAGTACAGGTGCATTACAGGCAGGTCCTCAAAGCAGCAGCCATGTTTGTTTGTTTGTTTTACATCAAACTTGGTACTATTCAGGATCTTCCCAGAGTCTTTCTTGTACCTATCTAACTAGTTCTTTCAGGAACAGGCTCTCTCATCCTCAGAGTTTGCATTTTAAACATGTTGTCACTGGTGGTTTAAAAATGGGCACAGGTTACCACCTCAAATATTTAGAAGATCTGCCTCAGTCCTTATAGCATTTATGTTTCATGCTGTGTCCAATATTTACTCTTCTAAAGCAACAGTTAAACAAATTACACTGGTCAGAAATGCAAAAATGCTAATTTGAGAATTTTAAATTAGACAAGTTAAATGTGCTTAAGCAAAGGTTTTCCACACATTAGCATTAGTGTGCAAAGTTATTTTGAACCTCAGATTATGCACCAAACAGAAGTGCAACGTGAGTTTAGAAGAGTATTACACTGACAAGATTTAGTAGAAATCAAATGCAAGATATTTACTTTCTGGAACAGATTTTGAACTAAGTTCTAAACAAGTATATACACAAGTTTGACTGAATTAGAAATTCCAATGAAGTGTAAGCCATCCCAAAAATTACTACATTTTCTATCCAGAGCATATGCTTTGACATTTTATATCCATGAAAAAATAGTTACTGTAAAGTACTCTGAACCTTAGGGGTTTTTTTCCAAACTGTTGTCAACAGATTGCAACAGGACTGTTCTGGTATGAAGCTACATCTGTTTAGATTCCTGAGGCAGGTGGATAGAGCCCAGAGGTGGGGGAATTACCACTTGGTTTATGCAGACTCGTCTCCTTGTATACAAACCAAGCATTTCCTGCCCACAGAATCATATTTAGCAAGCCAAAAACCTGTATAAAGAACAGAAATATACGTTAGTTGCTACCTTACAACTGAAGAGAATCAATACATTTTACGCTTCTTTTAAGCATGTGGTGTTTTATGCAGCAGCTTATTATATATTCTGCCTTTTTTCCTACAGGAAATGCAAGGTGAATTAGCATAATATTCCTCCATGCCATTTCATCCTCACAATCACCCTGTGATTGAGTCAAAGTCACACAGCAAGTCTCATAGGTAAGTGGGGTCTAGAACCTGGATCTTCCAAGTTCTTTTGCAGATGAAGCGACAGGCATTAAATAGATTGAATATTTTCATGGTTTTAATTGTTGGATTTGCTAGACAGAGTCAACTGCTGGTTAAGACAGAAATTGGCATCTGTTTAGTTGGACAAAGAAGGTCAAGTACATTATCAAGATCACAATCTCATATACACTTACATGGAAGCAAAGCCCACTGAACTCAGGGAGTGGGACTTACTTCAGACCTATAAAGAAAGAATAGATCAAGCTGCAAGTGTACTGGACTTTTAGAACCAATGTCTGAATTAAGCTTCAATTCTTAACATCCATCCTATCTAACTAGAATTAAGCTTCAATTCTTACCATCCAACCTATCTAGTATTTATATTGACAACTGAAGGCCAAATCCAGCCTATAGCCTCAAGTCTTCAGTTCCCAATACAAAGCCTGAAGGCCAAACCACAACTGGTCCATGGGAAATCAGCAACAGAACCTACCAACTTGTATTTTTGAACTTTACACCCCTCTCCCAATTCCTTCTAATTTGGGACTACAGCATGGGATGAGTTAAATTTCAAGCTGATAAGCAATTTCTCAGGAGAGCAGTTCCTGTTAAGCTTTATGAGGATTCTTCTCTCCCAGCCTTTTTAATGTTGGAGAATTCTGTCTCTCCAGCCCATAATATTTAGCAAATATGCCTTGGAACTCTTTGCCTTATTTTTGCTTTGCCATAGCCCTCTGTCTAAACACACTTTTTATTTTAAAGGTTGCTCCCTTACACTGCCACTTGGAAACAAGTTTCAGCTTTCAGTTTGGAAAGCATACTATAGGATATTATGTTCAGATTTCAAGCATTACAACTCCTTTTGCCCCAAGTTCTACTTCCTAGGGCTGTTAACCAAACTTCTGTTGTAGTCAGCAAGACAGCTTCAGTGGCTGGGTGAAATAAAACAAACAAATCAGTACTTGAACATTCAGGTGTTAATATACATACCACAGACACATTCAGACTTCCCATGCTGGTAACAGAAGCAAAAACACAAGAGGACCCTGATAATTTGCAAGCAGGTATTTCTTCCACAATGCGTGGACCAGTTGACACTTTGATGTCAACAAGAGCCTTTGCCCAGGCAGCACTGCTGACCAGCCACAGAAAAACAGCACCCAGAGTGAAGACGTAATCCTGTAGAGAGAGTCACATTGTTCAGCATAGTACAAGGCTTTCAAGATTACAGAAATGAAATGCTACCTGACATCTACTACACAATATATACTAGTACTAAACTGATGACTTTAGTATTGTCAGTTTTATTTCACCTTAAGCTTTATTCACTTATGCATAGCTTTAGATACACTTGCAGAAAAACAGGGAATAAAGCAAATAGGTTCAGTAAGCTTTGTGTATTGCACTGTACAAAGGTTACAGCTCAGTGGAATCTCCAGTTGTAAAACCTCCAATTGGAGAATTATGTTTCTATGCAATTTAGCAAGAATCCTGTAATTTTGTCAGTTAAGATCAATTCTGCAACCATCTATATACTCCTAGCAAACCTTTTACTATTTATTGGAAAATGTTTTGACTCTTGCCAAAATGAAGGCTGCTCACAGAATTCATGGCTGTAGCTTTTCATTCAGCACATCAGCTAAGATGCAGGGCTGAGGATTCACTTATGGCATATTTGTTTTTAGAAAACTTTGGAAGCAATCTCTTTATTGTATCATGGAGCATGGCACAAGTGAGATAAAGACCCGCTGGTTAAATTTAGCCTTAGAAAAGATGTACTGTTCTTCCTTATACTGCAAGAACTTAAAATGCATATTTATCATCTTCAGTTTCATTTAAGCATATTCTGGCCATAAAAGTGGACAGAAATTCCCTGTTCCAACTGAAATGAAATGCTGCATTACATTCTGAGCTTTCACCAGATAAAATATTGTGCAAATTAGGAGCTGCACTCCCTAATATATTCAATAATGAGTTTATTTTTCCAAGGGGAATATACAGTACTCTTTCCACATTCCATTTTGTCCTGACAGAGGTAAGCTAAGTTAAGTGACTAGTCCAAGGCCATCCAGTTCTAGTCAAGCAGGGATTCAAACCCAGGTCTCCCTAGTCCTAATTTGACATTCTTAACTACTATTATCACATCAGCTCTCCACTAATGCAGAGGCATCACACTCAGCCAAGTCTGTGGCATTTATCTCTGTCTCTTCAGGTTGCTATGTGGTCAGCAGGCAATGCCAAAAATTTCACTAATATAAATCTCAAACATTCTTTCAGAATAAGTGGGAATGCAATAGTTTCTTGGCCTGAATAGTAGAACTGGTCACCTGGTTATGAAGCCACATTAAGTTTCATAATTTTACTTACCCTACAGGTGCATATTTTCACAACCCCTTTTCAGCTTCTATCAAGTTCAAGCGAATTCCTGCATATTGTGAATATTAGATCTGCCTGAACTCTTAACAAATGTATAGTAAGCCTTAGCTATCTACTTATATCACTTCAAGGCTGAACAAGAGCTTTCTCTCTCTCTTTACATCTTACCCCAAATCTCAGGAACTTACTATTATTGGGAAAATGCCACCACTCCGATATATGTGCATATAACCAAGGTACAGCACAAGGGCAACTATGCAGTACAAGAACATCAAGACTGCTAAAGTTACAAAGAATTGTGCAGAGGAGGAGAAGTTGCCCACAAGGTGGAACTCGGACCATGTGCCATTGCATCGAGTAGGATCTGGTGAACTAAATGTAACTTGGTTCAACCTAAAAAGGAGAGAAGTGATGAAAAAACTCTCAGGGAAAGCATATTCCACAGGCACAGACATAAGAGGAGCACATATAATTTACCTAGATGGGCTGCTAAAGCTAAGCTTCTTTTTAACTGTCAACCAGCAAATCAAATTTGAAGTTCCTGGTATTCCATATCAGAAAGTTATAAACTATAGCACTGACAATATTAGCTATAGCTAGGTCTACAGCTCATGGTATGTTCCAGGTTAATATAGCATATTCTAGGACTATACTATGTAATCTGTACATGTCTTTTGAAAAAATGTGTTCAATACTAGTTTTCCCTACCCCCCCCATGAAAAAACAGCCCTGCAGACCCCAAATCATACTGGGACTACAGCACCTACAAGCAATAGCTTAGAAGGGAAAGGAAGCAGTGGTAGTTTATTGGATAAAGCAATAGTGACTATTACTTCATCTATGAACAAAGAAAACTGTGGAGGATACCTAGCATTAAATAGCAGTCAATGTTTAAGTGAGGCTTTTCTTCATTTTGTATTTCTGCTTGGGATAGAATTACCTCACAAGTTAGGTCAACATCTACCACAATGTTTTTTTTAAGTGTGACACCCAAACTGAGGCATTTCTTCTACACACACACACACACTATGTGTATTTGTTTATGCTAGGGAACATGAACACTGCAAACATCTTTTGTGGGCAATATGCAGTCTCCAAGGAATACTTGAGAACATCTGCACTTAAGCATGATCTGATCTGGTTTTATAAATCTTCCATGCAATAAAGACAATCTCTAAGGAATATTAGAGAAAGTGCAGAAATGTACAAGAAAAAATGTTATAATTTAAGGCAAAATCCTATGCATGTTTAGACGGAAAAGTCCTACAACTCCAGCATTATTCTAGCTGTGGTACATTGCATATGCTATCAAAGAAATACACTAGCTAAGAATGCTAGTACCTGTAGGATTGTTTCGTCTAAACAGGAATAAGATTGTGCCATTAATATACTTGCCTGCAAGAGATGTAGACATAAACATGAGGACTGATTTTCTATACAGCATTACTATCTAGAAGTCAGTCCAGCCCTAAGGACACCCATACTGAACAGCAAGTTGATTTCCTGGATTATAGAAAACAAGGTTCCTAATGGGTCCAGTGGTCACCAGCCTCTCTCTCATTTGGCTCTCACTTTATGGCCTCATTTATACAGGAAGCACAATGAGGGGATGGTGCACTATCCCTTTACAGACAGCAAGTCCTACTCATATTTTTGTGTAACTGCTTGTGTAAAAACCACATGCAAGTAGAAAAGGATCATGGCAGGCTGAACTACACATCATGTTATAGCTTATGTGGGGGAGAATTAAAATCAGCATTCTTTAACACAGTCTGCTCGTCTTACATTAGGCTTCTATTACCTAATCCTTAGCAAATATAGACCATGCTTTTCTCTCCTGTTACTGCAGCACTCTAAAAGAAACACTGGAACACAAAGTATAAACTGGTGTTTGTTTCTTTCTCTCTAAAAATAGACATGACTCATTTTTATAGGTGCAAAAAAGCTACTTTGGCAAAGAACAAGCAAGCATGAAGTGACTAGGAAAATGAAATCTAGAATAATTTGAAGGTAGAGTTTTACCTTGCATCTATCCCATAATAATGACTTCTAATTTAACTGTAGCATTGCCAACCATGATCCCTTTCTACTTGCACATTGCTTTCATGCAGGCAAACAAGAAGCACCCTTACTACTTGCAGTCTATAAAGGCACAGCACACTTAACCACCTCAGCAAGTGTAAGTCAGGTCATAAACTGAGGGCAGAAGGAAAGAGAAGCCAGCTGACCCAAAGATTATTTGAGCCTTCCTTTCTATAAACTATGAAATCAGCTATCTTTTCAGTGTGGGTGTCATTAGAGTCAAACTGATTTTTGGTGGTACCATGGCGAATAAAATTAATCTTTCAGATTAATGTCACAGTAACTATTTTTTATGACTGTTTCCTGATACCACTTGTGGGCATGTGTACTCAGGGCTCAGTCCTATACGTTTAGACAAAAAACTCCTGCAGCTCGCTGCATACCCTGTCAGTGTAATTTTGGCTGGAGTACACAGCACATTCCAGCCCACAAGAATGCTGGAGCTGCGGGGCTTTGTCCTGTCTAAATATGCATAGGATGATACCATAAGCAAACAAGATGCAGCTTTTTTATGCTACAGATTTCTGCGCTCTAGAATTCCTTAGAGAGCACATTTATTACTTTGGCAAATTACAATATTATGCATGTTCACCAGTGTTCCTGGAAGCCAATGTATATTGTCCACAGAATATACAAGGCACTGTTAAGATACATATACTGGCTAAAAAATACGCACAGTATCTTCTTCATTAACGGGCTGTGTATATTCTCCATGAGGTGTGATGAATGTACACAATGGCAAGTTCTTTATTTAAAATATTTACATCCCATCCTATATGCAAAACGTCTCAAGACAGCTTACAAGAAACAAATCAATAAACAAAACAATTAATTATGTATATTAGCTATTCAATTCACACAGCCCAAGCATTTTGTGTGTGTATGTACATGCATGCACACACACACACACACACAGAGTGCATTCACCACTATAGGAAAACTTATCTAGCCAACCATCTGAGGAATACTGCTGGACCAATCCAGTAATAATGGGACGCTAGTTAACAAGGACAGAGTCCAAGCGGTAGGACTTCCATACCAAAAGATACTACAGCTAACCTGAAAGGATAGGCAAAAGCAGCTGTTACTGTTCTGTTCACAAGCCCTTTACATGAGACTAGAATTGTAGTTGCACCTTTATAGCCTCCACATGTAGCAAATACAAAGATAGAAGAGATCTGTATAAAAAGGAGACATCAATCAATATATGCATTTCTTCTTGCTTGCAAGGAATACTATACAGTATGTCTTACTGACTTGGGGCTCAAATTTATGCATGTTTACACTGAAAAATAAATATATTATAATTACCAGTATTTCCCTGCCAACATGGCAGGTTGGAGAATACTGGGATTTGTAAGGCCTTTTTTTTGTCTACCCATACATAAGAGCACCCACTCCTTTTCTCAAAACAGTCAATTTTAGGTAAGTGCTTTTTTCAAAAACACACAAGTTAAAATGCTATAGGACAGGGTCTTTTTCAACCATGGTTGATACTATAATGGTCATAGTCTGTTTATACTGCAACTGAATGCACACTTTTCTGGAAGTAAGCCCACTGAACACAGTATGATAGTAATGTGTAAGAGGGTGTTTTCGTGCCCATATGTAAGGTAAGTGCATAGAGCATTTATTTTTCACAGAGTTATCATTATTGTCAGCTACACAACAAAAAGAAACATGCAGGGAGAATGTGCTTCCAGCATGTATCTACTGAACCTTTGCTAGTCATCGAATTAATAATGGCACAATTGCTTTTGACAGCTTAGTAAGAAGCTTATGAGAAGACAGGAACTCCAAATATTCAACAAATATTTTTGGGATGTCTCAATCATCTTTAGGAAGCAATTACATGGACAAAACTCCTAAACTTTAGTCAAAATAGTATCAGGATATTCCTTAAAAGCTTAGTTTCTACCATAAACTTAATTTACTTTCACCTTTGTCATACATGGGTTTTCTTCGTCCTGCCATTTTAAAGCATTGCTAATATGTACCCAAATATCTCAGATCTTGTCAGAACTATTGTTGAACAATAATTATTGCTAAGCAGACCTGCAGAGCATGACTGTTGCACAGTTAGCAATGCAAGGAAATCCCAACATTTTAAAAAACTTTATTAGCTTTTCAGCCTGACCCATTAGCTATAAGGCTCCCTGGGTGGGTTACAAATTATGACTTCATGAGATGCTTGATATTGAAATTCTTAAAAATTAAGATTTTGGATTTGTAATTTTAAAGTGAGAAAAATATTGGGTTTACATGAGCACATGTCTCAGAAAAAATATATAACAGTTCTTTGAGATTCAATATTCCATATTAAAGGAGTAGGGGGTATCAATCAACAGAGGTTTTTTTAAAAAAAGAACTGCTTTAAGCCAGCAAAGGGCAAATTTAGGCCACACCAAGTCTAGCAAGAAAGTCCATTTCATCAATCCTAGTTCTTTAGCAGACTTTAGAGCAGGCCTAGTAGCTTCCTAGGCCCAAAAGCCTTCCCTTCCCCGCCTGCTTTTGGGGAAGAGCAGTTCATCCACCCCTGGTTTAAAATAGGCTCCCCCCTCCCAAACTGCCCCATCGAGGAAAACTTCCCTTCCATCTAACGCCCCTGCCCCCCCCCCGAGAGACTCACCCATTCAAGAATCTTGATGAAACCCAGGGGCTCCCTGAGTGGGCTAAGATCAAGGTGGAAATCGCTCATTTTCTGTGGGAGGAAAAACAGGCATTAAAAGTGGGACAGCCAAAGGCCCAACACACCGCCTGGACCAAGGGGGACGCGCGCAAGCAAGCGCGCAAGCAACCTGCCTGATCCTCTAGCTTCCCCACTTACTGCAGCCGCCCTGGCGCCTGCGACCCCCTATAGAGCCTGCCCCAGCGAGCCCCGCCCACAAATGGAATCACCTTTTCCTCATTGCCCAACTGTCGGCTCGCAATAGGCCGCGCTCGACGCCAGCTGCCGCTTCTGCTCCGTTTCCGCAAGGCTGAGCGTGGCCCAAGAGCTCCCGGGGCCACCCCTTAAACCGGTATGACTTCGGTTCCAAGCAGCGGGCTGGGCGCAGTCGAAGAGTCCCCTGCCATTCGTGGGGGCCTGTGTCCTCTGCTGAAACGTGCATCTTGAGGAAACTCCATTGCCAAAGGAGAGTTGTTAGTGTCCCTGAGAGAAACTTGGCATGCTGGTAGTAAACTAGCTGGCTCCCCTTGCGTATACGCATTATCTTTATGTGTGGGTGCAGAAAGCGAGAGGTGTTTTAATTTTGCATGGCAGGAAAGGTTTAAGTTTGTAAAGGTAGTTTGAATCCATGTTTAGTCAGAGCAAACTTGTTGAAAGCAGAGATGGAAAGTAGCAATGGCTTCGTTATCATTAAAGCCCTTTGATTTCAGTGAATCTTCTTTTAATAGGACTAAATCTGGATCTGACCCACCAGGGTTTGATATGCCAGTGCAAAAATAGTTTTGCAGGCTATCAAGAATGAGAGAAAACAGGAGTGGCCCCCTCTAAGAACACAGGCCATGCAGAAGGTTCCTATATAAGTAAATTGCTGGTGTTTTTGTACAGAAGAAAACTGAGAGGGAGAGAAAGAAAGTGCCGGAGAGGAATGATGTTCTGTTGTCTAAGAACAGTGATGATTTTGCCAGAATCTGAAGGCATCTGTGTTCCGAAGGGCTCAAACATGCTGCTACATGGAAATCTAAGACAGGATGCCATTCTTTCAAGATTGGAGCTCCTGTAGCTTTAAGATGTGTGCAGAAACTAGAACTTCAGTAGACCAAGCTTTTCAAACGCAACACACAAAGCTGCACCTGCTGAAATTCCCAAAACAATTATTAAAGGCAAAGAAGCATACATTCTGAAAGGCTGGCCATCACGAAATCTAAATCAGTTCCATAGGCTCTTAGAGTGCTATTTCCACCTCTCAGGCTTCAGAGTCAGACTTTTAACCAGAGGCATTTTCCATGCATAAGATTGCAGTCTTACAAGCTACTGACTTAAGAGTAATCCTGTTCACTTTTGCAGGTCAACTTCACGATTATGATTTTTGGCTTGTTGCCTAGCACCTGGACCTTAGGCCAGTTTCACAAGTGGAGCCTGCATCTTTTCATAGCACTTGCAAGTCCACTGTAAAAATACATTGATTGGCATATGTACTTTAACTGCTCTCTTCTGCTTTTTATGGTTCATTAACATTCATAAGAGGGACATCTGAGATTGAGTTGTTCATAGTATTCTTTCTGAAAATATCCCTGAAGATGTTATTGAGTGAATGTCTCCATGGCTACATACCTTGTACTTAGGGTGGGTGAGTATGATGGTTCATGAGTGTTATCAGCCTTCTCTGTCCTCTAGTTTGCCTACCTTGTTTCTGCTAAATGGCTGATCTGCTTTATTATCTCAAGTATGAAACTGTCAGGAATCATAGTCTTATGGCCCCTTGACAGCATCTAAAGGATCAAAGGAATTTTTGGAGTCTTTACTTGAATGTTAGTGCAGGGAGTCTGCCCTCAGAGCAGGGAATTTAGTGGGTGTTTGCATGGGGAGGGATGAGACTGGTGCTGTCAAGGTATATTCTGGTAGTACTTCAGCCTTCTTTCCTGCTATGAAGTGCAGCTGTTCAACACCCAAAATCTAGCTGTCTAGCTGCTTTGAAAGTTAGGAAGAACACAGGCATGACCTTTGCCTTGTTGCTGCACCATGCGTAGGATACCCCTATTCCTTCAAGTTTGTAGGACTATGAGAATTCCCATAGAATTGTATCCTAAATACTGGGCCATTATAATGATAATTTGATAGCATTTAACAACAGCTTTGGAGTTTAAAAAATGAAAATTTATATATAAATTTTCAATCAAACAGAATACCCTAGTATATGAAGCTACTGCCTTGGTGAAGCTAAGCAGGTTTGGATCTGGCCAGGGTCTACAACAAAGTCCTCCTAATGATCAAATATATGCCACCTTTGGATTCCATGAAGAAAGTTTGGGTATCTATGTGAAGAAGTGTGTGTCCGTGTGCATGAATTATGACTGCTAGGTAAGTCAGCTGCCTGGCCCTAGATTGTCAAGCTTACCTGAGATCAGAGAGCACCAAAATCTTCAATGACTGCCATCAGCTGCTATGACCACTATGTCCCAAGCAAAAAAAAAAAAAGCCTGCTATATAGCTACTTATGAATGTGACCTTGTAGACAATGCTCAGTAAGTGGTCTTGATGTCTTTAACATAAAGCAAGCTACTGATGCTTTCTGCTTATGAGGTGGGTTTTCGAGGCATGACAGCTGGTTCTTATCTGTACTCTTGCGAAACCTTTACTTCTTGCCCATTGTCAGATGAGCAAATTACATTCCCCCACACAGACTTATGATCTAGCTAGCCTCTATAGGATTCCCATTAAATTAATGTAAAGCCTTTCCCTTTACTTTACTCTGATATTATTAATTAGAATAGACATAACATGGTAGTAGACTACTCTCTGATGTATTCTGAATTGATCTTGACTGTATGCTGAAACCTTATCTACAGCTGCAGGCAGAGTAACAAGTTTTCAAGTTAGACACTTATTAGTAATAATTCCTGGAGAAGAGAGTGTGCGCCCTCTAGTGTGCCATGCTGGATTAGACCAAAGGCCTATTTTATTACTCTTTCTGTCACACTGCGGCCAGCCAGCTGCCTAAATTCTTAAGCAGGACATGAGTGTAACAGCAGCCTTCCCAGTCATTCTCAACAGTAACTAAAATATAGGAGAATACTGACTTTGCTACTGGAGGGAATATATAGCCATCTAGTAACCATTGATAGCCTTACCTGCCATGAAACACTGAAAATACAATTATATAAATGGAGGCATGCAAAGTATTTTCATAGAAGTTCCAGGTTGGATACAGACAGGAGGGAGATTACCAGTACCATCGTGTGATTTCTTAATTCATTGGGTGGAAGTGCCCTGGAGAGAGGCACTGAACAGATTAACAGAATTGATGGACAGTTAACAAGCCATGAAACAGCTTCCCTCTGGGAGGATGTAATAACCTGGGTGAATCTTGTGATGTTCCTTGATATTTAAAGATATGCAAGTTTTATTTAATTATTTACCAATCTTTTGGAATTCAACACAAGGACTCTCTACTCTCTTTTGATAGCTAAAAGATTAGTATTACAACATTGGAAGAATAAAATTTGCTATAATACAATGTAGAAAGGATTTAGTGAAACTTTCAGTCTGAGCAGGTGGCCTTTTGGCATAAATTCAAATGAATAAATATATGGATTTTTGGACTGCATTTTCTACTATTGCTAATACTCCCAGGCCCATTACACATGTGGGGCAATTTGCATTATCACCCTTGGGAAAGTAGCTTGTAATGTTATGTGAACCTGGCCATTGTGGTCTTTTGCAGTGGGTAACAAGCTGCTCAGATTTATGGACTTTTGTAGAGTTCTGGGTGGCTTATTTCCCATAGCAACAAACCACATTAACTGGGTTTGCATGGTGCAAAAAATAGGTAGTGCTGAGGGTAAAGAGTTACCATACACTGTTGTGCAGTGTAGTTAATAAGCTACTACATGCAGCTTGTTAAGGGCTTGATGATCATATGAACTGACTCAGTCTGTCCACAGAACTTAGGGATGTGACATGTTCCTGGAGTCTATTCGGTCCTCATAAGGCTATGGCTGAAAATACACCAGAAAAAAGAGGAACATACTAGGTACAAGTAGCAATTGTTTGAAAGATACCCATGTCTGTACACTATTTTTTGTTATGTGCTGTCAAGTCCTCTTTGATTTATAATGAATGGCTTCCAAAATGTCCTGTCCTTGGCAGCCCTTCTCAGGTCTTGTAATTCAAGGCTGTGGCTTCTGTTATGGAATTGATCTATCTCATGCTTGGTCTTCCTATTCTTCTTCTGCCTTTGACTTTCCCTAACGCAGTTGTCTGCCTCAGTAAGTCTTGCCTTCTCATGATTTGCCCAGAGTGCAATTGTCCCAGTTTTGTCAATTTTGCTTTCAGGGCAAATTCTGCTTTTATTTGATCTAGGGCCCATTATAATGACTGTTAAAAAGCTAAAATTACTCTAATAGAAACAAATGAATTTCCAGCACTTTAGTTGATTTACATGACATGCACTTTTGATCAACTTAAGTTCATGGTTAATACAAGCACACATAAACAATAGATTGTATGGATGATTTGCTTTGGAGAAAAGATGCAACTACTTGTGAGGAACCTTAACCTTTCAGTACTCTCTTAGTAAAAGGTGCTACTGGATGTGGCCCACAAGCATAATATTTCATAATGCTCAAGGGGGCATGCTCTTATAGCATTTGGCATGTGCATTATTAGGAGCACCTTCTGTTCAAGATTACCATGAAGACAGGAGTCAATGAGTGCAGATTCTTAAAGTCCTTATAACTTGCAACTGTATTGTATGAACTTAATGAGGACATAAGTCACTTTTTTTCTCAGTGTGACAGCTTAGTCATTAGTTTCTGGAGCATCACTCAGGTGAAGGAAAGGGCCAAGCTTATTCAAGTTTTACTCTTGGATATATTAAATATTAGGTCTGCAGTCCAAAACCCACTTACTTGGAAGAAAGCTCTATTGAACTCAATATGACTTACTTCTGAGTAGACATGTATAGCTTGAACTATAAATTGCACCTAGACATGTAATAGATTGTGAAGGCAGTACATTGTTCGAGCATTTGGGATGCT